CTACCAGAAAAAAAAACCAATAGGATAAATAATTAATGTGTACACGTCGATCATTCACAAACTTCTTACAAAATGTCACGAAATGACAAGAAAAGAAGCCGTGAAAATTACGTCAAAGAAGAAAAAGGGTAAGTGTTTTAAGGATGGTGGTGGTTATCGCCCACTGCTCGTCATTACTCTAGTTAATATATAAGAATATTGTCATCATTATATTCTTTTCTACTGATTTTAAAAAAAATTTTTTTATGGTGTATGTATACATAACAGAACAAAAAATAAAGGTATCAAATTATCAAAGGAAATTGAGGAAATTGATGATGTTAAAGAAATTGATGATGTCAAGGAATTTGATGATGTCAAGGAATTTGATGATGTCAAGGAGTTTGATGATGTCAAGGAATTTGATGATGTCAAGGAGTTTGATGATGTCAAGGAATTTGATGATGTTGAGGATGATGTTGAGGATGATGTTGAGGATGATGTCAAGGAATTTGATGATGTTGAGGATGATTATGAGGAAATCAATGATGATGAGGAGGAATATGAAAATGGAGAAAAATATGAGGAAGAACGAAAAGAAAAGGCAAGTATAAAACTTAAATTGTTGGATTATTTCTTTTATTAAACAAGAAATTCTTATTTGCATATTAACAAGAGAACTCTTATTTGTAGAAACAATATAAAAACCACAATCTCAGCTTCTCAAAAGCAGCATTTAAAAAAATTGTAAGAGAGATTAGTCTAGGTATAAGACCTGGACTACATTTCAGGAGTGATGCGTTGGATGAACTACAAAAAGTGTGTCTTTTCCTTTTTAACTAAATAATTGAATGATTTTTTATACTGGTAGACATTAATAATTTTTTAAAACAGTTGATAGAAACGTGCTTGCGATACATGCTTAGGGATGCGTATGTATAAAGTTTAATATTAAAAAATTGGCAATTAAAAAAAACATTTATTAATCTTTTTTTTTGATCAATTATTATTTCAGAGGATTATCTGCAAAACACGCAGGAAGAGATAATTTATGGATGTAATATTACAGCAGGAAAATTTCCTGATGAATAACTTGAAAATATTTCTACACAGAAGGTTCAAGTAATACATTTAATTAGGATTTCAAAGAAATCAGAGAACTAGATGATCAAACCTTTAACATGTATAAATTATGTTGCATTTTTCTCAACTTCATGTATCATCTTTAATCATCATTCATAATCATCATTTAATAAATAATACTGTCCTTTATCCTTGTACTTATTGTTTTCAAACATTATATTTTCATAGTGACAATAAATTTATCTCTAACAATGAATGCATACTAATCCCATGCATAATTAATTTCTCTTATTTTATATTGTCTCTATTATTTTTATTATTTTTTATTTCTTTCTTTTATTTTAGTGAGATAATTATACATGAAGTCGAAACTATTTTGACCATTTGCAGATCTGGTCAAAATAGGGTCGAAATAAGGTCAAAACTGATTTTTACTATGTAGTTGCCTCAAGTTGAAACATTTCAACTTTGGGGTTTTAATTTTGAC